TTAATTAACGTTTATTTTAATTTACATTTGAAAGGCAGAGACAGGCAAATCTTCCATCTGGTTCATTTTTGTAAATTCCCACAGAAACCAGAAACCTGGAACTCCCTTGTGGAACTCCCTTGGGGGCAGCAGAATTACAAGTACTGGAACCATCACTTGCTGTTTCTAACTGTATGCGTTAATGGGAAGATGGATTCAAAGTGGAGGAACCATGATTGAAACCAGACCAGTCCAATTTTTAATGCTGACTTCTGGTCAGTGATGTAGACTGTTGTGCCAAATGCCTGTCCATGATTCTTACATGTCATGTAAAATCATTTTCTGGGAAGGATTCCTGTGTGTTCTATGTATATGGAAATCTGCATCAAAATATCTCAGTGTTTATTTACTAAGTTTAGGTTTCTGAAAGGCTTCACCAGAGCAAATCAACTTTCATATTAATTTCTTGCTTTGATTCTTATAAGATGGAGTCTCATGTGACATTGTTTCTCCTTTTTGTAACATATGCAAAGGACGAGGCTGACATTTCCATTTTCTCTATGACATCACTCCAACCCTTCCAGTCTTGCTTCTTTTCTGTCATCTTTCTCCCATGATCCAGCTCACTTTGAGTCTCTGGGCTGGTAAGTAGAAATTCTGTGGTCCTGCAGGAACTTTTCGCATAGGCTTTCAGAGTCCTGGCTTTATAACTGAGACTTTAATTCTGTTCTCCATAATTTATGGGGTTGGGCTACACTGCACAAAATAACCTCTTCAAATTATGCTGAAGTTTCACGCTGGTAGTATGTGTGTTATTGTTGTTCTGACGCCTACTCTTCTTTGGAATTGTCTTCCCGTTCTGTGTGGTTATGGAATTGGTGGAGGTTCCTCATTTTCCAGCATCTTTCCCAAACTCATTGTTTTGTATTTGGGAAAGGTGTTGATTTGGTATGTATTAATTTTGTAGTTATTTACCTCAGTGAATTATTATTTACAACAGATTTTTTTTTCTTGTTTTTGTTGGATATTCCATAAATGAAGTTGGCTCATCTTGAAACAATGACAATTTTGCCTCAGCTAATTCGCCTTGATTCATTTTATTTTGTTAATTGTTTTTGCTGAATTGCTTTAGTGAACATTATTGTCATGTCCTCGCTTTTTTAAGAATAGCTTATTTTCAAGAAGCATTTTTTAAATTATTGGGAGATTTAGCTTATATATGTATAAGTTACGGCAGTTACTCTGTGTAATCCGGAAAATGTAATTCTAGCAGTGATACCAAAAAGTCAAATGCAGAAATGAAATATTCCTATTGCAGAATTTTTAAATAAAAATTGTCATGTATAGAGTGCCGCTTAGGCTGTATGAATGTACTTCAAAAACTGTGTGGAAAAGTGGCGTTAAAGATAAGTTTATTCTGCTAAAAAAAAATTGGTAAAAGCTTCCCAGTTAATGGATTTTTCATGAACTTTTTGTTGACCTTTTGTATTGGTTTCAAACTATTTTTGTACCAAAATAAAGTTATCTTTTCAATCCACTTTTCCTTGAGGTTATTGAAGTACTGTATTTGCTTTGGAAGAGTTACTAAGAGCAAAAATCAGAGAGCGTCCATCCATTAGTTCACTGCCCAGATGGCCTTTTGCTCAGGCTGAAGCGGGAGCTTCTTGGTGTCCCATGTGGGTGCAATGGTAAAGACACTTGAGCCATCTTCTGCTGCTTTTTCCGGCCATTGGCCGACAGCTGCATCAAAAGTGGAGCATCTGGGATGTAACCTGGGGCCCGTATTGGATGCCTGTGTTGCAAGCGTCAGCTTTATCCACTACACCACTGTGGTCGCTCCAGGAAGATGGCATTTATTAAGTAAGAATTCTTAACTTTGAATTAAACTTACTTGATATGAGCAGAATCTGCTCTGTTTTATTCAGCACTCTTAGTAACTCATTTTTATAGTGTGGTTCTTGCCACTCCTTCCTGTTTTTATACCTTAGTGTTATATATAGGTATATAGTAGTTATGGTTACTATCTTCATAATACTAAGTTTAAAATATCTATCCATTCAGATGTGTGGTGTTCTACTAAGTTCTTCAGTGCATTTGTGAAATACACATGTGGTCCAAAGGCCCGAAGTTGGATTTTTGGACTAGTTTTGGTGTTTTTAATTGATAGTTAATTTCATTTCTAGCTTCCTTTGGAATTTAACCACTTTCTAACCTTTTTTTCCTAAATTTAATTAAGTATGTTTTAGCCCCATTTCTTTTTTTGTTTTTGTTTTTGTTTTTTTTTTAGCCTAGCAGTTTAAGGTATTCAAGCAAGATTTTACAAAACTTCTTGCAATCTAGGGCAGTCAAAACAGTCTTGTAATTCTAACAAGCCATATATTAACAATTGAAGAGTGAAATAGACTTAACGTAGCAGCAGCTGATAAGCAGTTCAAGGTTTGAAAAACATCTGCCAAGGATATCACAAGATTTGTTTGTTCTTATTGGAACAGCAGACTTATAGAGAAGGGAGAGAAAGAAAGATTTCACATTCACTGAATCACTCCTCAAATGTCCGCAATCGCTGGTGATGAGCCGATCCAAAACCAGGAGCCAGAAGATTTCATCCAGGTCTCCCATGTGGGTATAGGATGCCAAGGCTTTGAGTCATCCTCCACTGCTTTCTCTGACCACAAGCAAAGAGCTATGTGGGAAATGGAGCAACTGGAACATGAACTGGGGCCTTCATTGATGCCTGGTACTTGCAAAGGGAGGATTAGGCAGTTGAGCCATCACGCCAGACCCATCATCTATGTGTTTTAGTTTTAATATATGTAAATAACTCCGGTTGGCCTCGGTTCAAATACATATATGAAGTTCTGCAATTTTAATTAGAGTAACTTCCCCAAAATTAAACATTCTTCAGAGAATTGTGTTACTATATAATGTAAATTCTATATGTGATTTTCCTTTTTTTTTTTTTTAACTTTTAATTTTTGTTTGAATTTGAAAAGCAGAGTCACAGAGAGAGGGTGAAATAGAGATATCTCTTCCATCCATTGGGTCACTCCCCAGATGGCTGCAGTGGTCGGGGCCATGCCAGGTTAGAATCCCAGACCCCAGAATTTCATGGGAGTTTTCCTCTTTGGTGACTGGGACCCAGGTACATGGGCCATCTTCCAGTTTTTTTCAGGATCATTTTCATTGAGCTGGATCAGAAGCAGAGCAGCCAGTACCTAATCCCATGTTTTGATATAGGATCCCATGTCATAGGCAGTGGTTTACTTTGCTATGCCTAACTAAGGGTAGACACCTGTCTACTCTTTTCAACTGAATTTATATTGTTTTATTAGTCTGTTTCCATGTATTTAGCCCTAATGAGAATCTGTCTTCTGTCTCACTATATATACACCTACCTTTGTGTCAGAGTTTTTCCCTTTGTTCCATGCAGTTCACACTGCTCCCAAATAACTTTGGAAGCAAGTAAAAACTATAACGGAACCACTTCCTGTTCTGTTGTATAAGCAGTTAAAAATTGAGGAATTCTATGGGCAAATGACAAAGAAATGGACCTGTACTTGTTGCTATTACTCAACTTCTCATGGGAAGGCTAGCTTAGTGGAGAAATTGTCTAAAAACATTTTATGCTATATCAGTGGGAATATGGGCACTGGGAAACTATTCTTGCCACTTTTGCTGTGTAGGTTACTATTCAATGAAATGTATAATATTAGAGTTTGGTAAAAACAGAAACCTGAAAGAAAATTGAAGAAAGATATAAGCTTCTAGCTAAATATAATAATTTGATTTTTTTCTGTAAACTACACAAGGTTTTGTTCTTTTGTGTACCTACCAATTCAGTTGCTTAGATAGAGGTGAAATCATTACAGTAAGTCCTGTTAGGAAGAGAAGAAATGAGTCCCAAGATAAGATAGACATTATCTGAACACGTAGGTTATTTTTGTTCATCTACATTTTTTCAGCAAACATAGTGTTGATATCCTGATTTAGTAGACACTGAAATTCATATCTCTTATAATCAATTCTGTGACTACGGTGTTTTTCTTAAATGTGAAGTGGTCTATTACATCAAAGGTGCTACTGAGCCTACATGATTTGAATTAGTTTGCATTTCATCTGCACCTATACATATAATGTGTAGCATATTAATTTCTATTTGAGTGTTTTCGTAACTCATTTTGTGTCTTTTATGTGTGACCTGGTCTTGTTTTCTCAGCTAGCTTGGAGACTCCTGAAGGGGAAAGACAATTGTCCTTTCCCTTTCACCATAATCAATTAACAAAACAGGGTTCTCTATGTAATACAACATGATTTCTTGTTGGTTTTAAAGAAGTGAACCTTTGCCAAGACATAGTATCAGTTGGCCTAATTTTTTAGAAAGTGCTTCTGCAGAAATTTACATTTGTTTTATAGTGTGTCTATTTAAACTTAAGGACATAAAGGCATGTAAACAGTGATTTTTAAAGTGTATGTTATTGTTTCAGCTTAGACTTAATTTAGTTTTTCAGACACTTGTTAATTCCATTTAGCTGGAAGTAGTACATCTTCATTAGATGATTTGCATTTGGATATTGTATTTGGTAGATTGTGTTTAGATTGTTAATAGTCATTTAAGTGATTCTTAATAAAAATATGCCTCTCATAAAAAAAAGTTGTAACATAATTCATAGAATCACAGTTTTTTTTTCCAGTCTTTCATTAAATTGATTCATTCAATTTGGGTGATTCTTATTGTTAAACTTCCTAGTGTGAACTTTGATATGGAGGAGACTTTTTGCAATAAATTTGACAATTTATTTGTAAATGTCCAGTGTTTGAAAAAGTAACATTAGCTTTTTTCAGATCTTTTTCTAAAATTAAAGGATTAAAATTATTATTAATGTTTTACTTAAAATTTGCCAAAGATGAAAGATATTGTTTCTTCCCAATGAATATTTGCATTTTACTTCACAAATTTTTTTTTTTTTTGCTGTGAAAGTGCATACTGTTTTATTGAGAAGTTTTGTTTATGTCTTATTCAGGAATGTCGCTGTCTGCTGGATCTTCCCCTCTTCATTCCCCGAAGATTACTCCACATACGTCTCCTGCCCCTAGGAGAAGAAGTCACACTCCAAATCCAGCCAGTTACTTGGTGCCTTCTAGTGCCTCTACACCTGTTAATAATCCTGTTTCTCAGAACCCATCTTCTGGTCAGGTGATCCAAAAGGAAACTGTTGGTGGGACAACTTACTTCTATACAGACACAACTCCCGCACCATTGTCTGGAATGGTATGTCTATAATCAGCAGAGAATACAGGCTTTTCTTGTTACAGTGAGGGCGTTTATCTCCTCTTGGCAATTTTTTATCATGATATAAAAAGTGCTTTATTTTCTAATTTAACTTACTTCTTAGTCAGGTTCTTGTTCTAATTTAGTTTTTGGCAAACCTGGTTTTAATCAGAAATGAGATTATGTTCTTGCTACATGTTAGTACTGTAACATGTTTTAATTATAGCACACATTTTATTTGTGGCATGTTGGCTGGATTTGATGTTCTGTGGCATTTGTTTAGTTTTATCATATGGGTAGTTTTTCCTCTGGTTAGTAAGTCAGGAAGTAGGTATTCTGTTCATAGTTACTGAAAGCAAACTATTGAATGACTTTTGCCTCAGATTTCATAGCTTGATTGGTGGATAGTGAAGTAACGTAGTGAAAAGGAATTACAGCTAAGTAGGAAAGAAACTCAGGTTAAAGTAGTCTTGAGTGTGGATGAGGATAAACTGAGATAAACTCAGAAAAATCATGACCCTAAAGAGCAAGGAAAGAACGTTTTCAAAGTGGTGTCCAGACAGAGGGAGAAAGATCTGTAATTAGAAATAGATGGTGACGATTGGAAATGAGATGAGATGGCAAGCATTGACATGTTCTACACGTTGTATCTTTTTAATTTCATTATTTTCTCCATGTTTAAAAATTAGTTACTATGAAAAAGTAAGTAGTAGACTAAGAACTCCTTGAAAAGAGGCCAAATTCCATTAAAGTAACATTTCAGTAAGCACATGGAATCCCTCATGTCAGTTAACTATTTATTTTGTTATGTTTTACTGAAAAGTGGTTGGTGAAAAGAGAAAAATTCTTATGGCTTTCAAAAGCCTTGTCCTGCTATTGTTTTGAGACTTCTGAGTCTTTATCCTCTTGTTTCCTCAGTTAAAAAATGAAGGTGTTATCCCTAAATACCTTGTGGTAAATAAAACATTTAAAGAAGTAGCTGTAATTCATGTTAACATGTGTTTCTATTAATAGCAAAATAATAATCTTGATGACTTGATTTTTTTTGTTGATTGAGACAGAAGTCTTTCCCAATTATAGAACTATTTCCCAATAAAAGGTCAAGTAGTAGAGATAGACACTTCCCTTTGATCTGTTCAAATAAGGCTGCATCAGTGTTTTCCCCTTGTGGAGGCATTATGTTTTATAATTACTTAAGTTGTTATACTATCCTATTTTATCACTGTTTTTGGAAAGAGGAAATCTAGTTAATCTTTAAAGAGCTTTTGTGGTCACAAAACTGTTCCTGCTGTTTTTAAAGATTAAGTATGGCACGATTTTATGTTACTGCTCTTCACCATTTAAAATGTGCTCTTAGTAACCATAAGGTTAGGTGTTTAGGTGACACCATTGCAAGGAGGAGGAGGCATTGTTCTTCCTTCAGGTTCGGGTCAAATGAGACCTTACAGATTATCTCAGTGTGGCAGAAGAGCTGAATGGGATTTTAAAAGAGAAAAAAAAAGTTGAGTTTTTAAAGTTTTGAAGAATAATTACATACAAAAGGTATTTTACAATAAGCTTTGCTTTTTGTATTGTGGATTAATGGTGAGAAGGAGAGTGGGGATAACAAAGTGATAAGAAATAAGAGTAGAAATTGATTGCTTTTGGATGAATCCACGTGAAGAAAAAAAGTTAAGACCCTGGGAACAATTTTGTAGTTTCTTTGAATGCAAATATTTCACTGCATTGCTTTGTTCTTCACCCTCTGGTCTAGAGTAAGCTGCTTTTCTATGGCAGTGTGAAGTGTTAAACCTGCAGATTAACGTTTGAGTTAAGCATCCCAATGCATATTTTTGCATTATCTTTCCGTGCCCAAGCATTTTTAGGTTTGTTTTCTTCCTGTCTTCAAACTGTTTTCCTATAATGCCTAAAACTCTTTATATTTGTAAAATATTTCCTCAAAGAGCTACTTTTGCCTACCAGATGGAACTGAAATTTGAGTATATCTTAAAATTTATTTTCATCCCCTTTAGATTTTAAACGTTGATCATTAAAGTGTTAGACTTCTTAAAGTGAATTTATTCAGAAAATATTCTGATAGCTATTTTCTGAGATGTTTCATTAACATGTAGAGATTAAAAGTTATTCAAAACTTAGCAGTCACAAGAAACAACCATAAAGCTTATCCATTGAGAAAATTGGTCATTACTTTTACCCCCTCCCTGCCTTTTTAGGTATTTCCAAACTATCATATTTATCCTCCAACTGCACCTCATGTTGCTTACATGCAACCAAAAGCAAATGCACCTTCCTTCTTCATGGCTGACGAACTTCGACAGGTATGCTTTCGAATTCATGGTAGAAATACTTAATGTGTTTTACCAAAGAACAGAAGAAAGAGCAGTTTCTTTTCAAATCATTATTGAAATATGCTGTGTCCATGCAAACAGAATTTAGAATTTTTAGGTTTTAACTGGTACATTTATTTAAGGAAGCCTTTTTTTATTTAAAAAATAAAATCCGTAGAATAGTTCGTTAGGCAGATCATCTGTGTGTACTTTTTTTTTTAAGATTTATTTATTTTTATTGTAAAGTCAGATGGTCAGAGAAGATGAGAGACAGGAAGATCTTCAGATCAATGATTCACTCCACAAGTGACCGCAACGGCTGCAGTTGAGCCAATCTGAAGCCAAGAGCTTCTTCCAGGTCTCCCACACAGGTGCAGGGTCCCAGTGTTTTGGGCCGTCCTAAACTGCCTTCCCTGCCCACAACCAGAGAGCTGGTTGGGAAGTAGGGCTGCCAGGAGTAGAACCAGTGCCCATATGGGGTCCCGGTGCTTTCAAGGCGAGGACTTTAGCTGGTATCTTTGTGTACTATTTATTCTTTTGTTTGAAAGGATTTTTGGAGCATACAAATATTTTATAAGGTATGCAGCCTTCACCCAAATGTTGGCTAATAGCTGTAAATTCAGAGTGAGTGGAATGATTCAGAAATTTGCATGCTACTATTTTTCTAAAATAAATTATTTGCAATAATTCAGTTTTACTAGGTAATTAGCTAAGAGTTGGTATGTCGAATATCTTTCATACCCAGATTGTCAGATATTTGTTTCACAGCTGTAAGTTGTATAGATAAATAATTTTTCAGTTAATTGTTGAACAGCTTTAGAGTTAGCATCTTGCTGGTGTTAGAGCACAACTATATTTTATCTTTAAAATGTTTTTTAATAATCCCAATATTTAAAAATACAGATACTACAGGAATTAATACTGGTACATATATTAAGAAATCTATATTGTGGAATCTGTTTATCCTTAAATATAAAAGAGAAAGACTTAAGATGTTTATTTGAGAAGCAGAGAGGGAAAGAGTCAGTTACAATGCTAAAGTAGGTATCAACATACTTGTTTCCTTTTCTTAGGAGCTGATCAACAGACATTTAATAACAATAGCTCAAATTGATCAAGCAGATATGCCAGGTAAAATGCAAATTGATTCATTCGTCATTTTAAAGACTAATGTAGTCCTTACATAGTGCTACATGTTTTAATGCAATATTGGGAATCCCAAGATGCTACTGATCACGTAGTTTATTTCAGTCAGTCTTACCTGTGGCAATATTCTAGTTAAATATGGTTGAAATGGTTGTACAGTTCTTAGCGATTTGGTTCACTGTTGCACCAGAATTTTTCTGCCTCCTGAAATTTAATGACAAATATCTCTTAAGTGAAGACGAAAGTTGGTTATTTCTGAGAGTACAGTGTGGTAATTAGATACCTTGTGACTACTCTTGACAAACATTCGTGACAGGTTATCGTTTGCATTACTGTTATGAGGAAATTGACAGGTTAAATAAGTTGCCTTTAGGACCAACAGCTGGTAAATCATTGATTATAAGATAAAAACCTCACATCACTCAATGTTTATAGAAGATATTAACATTTTACTTACCTTACTCTGTATAAATTAAATACAATAAGAGTAAAATTTTATTGACAGTACAGTTGGAATATATTTGCTGCCAAGATTAGAATACCTGGTTGTCTTCAGGGTTAGGCAAAGTCCAGCGTCCTTGGTTCTGATTACTAAAGGATTAGGAGTATCCTAGCTGTTGAGATTTAGGACTGGGTTCTCTCTTTTTGTTCCAGAGACTAACTTGTCATAACCTTTGATGTGTTCAAGTGATTTTCGTAATTATTCTGTATTTGAGGCCTTATCCAAGGCAAATTTTTTAAAACTAAGGAAAAAATGTCTTAAGGCTAGAAAGAAGAAAAATAATAATAAACTTGCTATCTGTAAATCATATGGCTGTATTTGATAATAGCTAGATGCCAGAAAATACCTAGATGTATTTTTATAAACCAGTTTCCAAAAACTTCAAAATACAGTTTTAGATGAATGTTATTTAAAATGTATTTAACTGTTCTAAAGTGATTCTAGACAAAGCATAGCAGGTTTTCATGAAATATTATAAAATTTATCAAGGAGTAAAGGGGACAACACCATCTAAAGTACTTCGATTAATGAGGTTATTATACAAATTCATATGGAAAATGTGTGCATTGGGGAAGAGGACAATTGCTTTGTGTTGTAATAACTAAAACAATATGGTAGTAGCACAGGATTACACAAATCCATCTGTGGGTAGACCAGGGCAAGGCAATACTGTTTTTAATAATGATGGCAAGATCCACTGGGGGGAAGGGAGAATGACTTTATATATAAAAGATAATATTATATGTATCTATTCCAAGCCGTATTAAAAAAAAATTAACTCCCAGTAGGTTAATAACTTATGACTCTAAGATAAAATTATTAAAGTTAAAATGTAAGTGAATATATTTATTGTCTTAGTAGGGAAAGACTTCCTGCACTAGTCCTAAAAGTTTTGTCTGAGACAATGCTGAAAACTATTACTAAATTAAAATTGCCCAAAGAACAAAGCAAATCTAAGGTAATAGCAGGCATTTTATGAAAAGAGAAACACATGTGAGCTATAGATGTGTGAAAAGATGTTGGACATGGCTGATGATGAGGAAAACATAAGGAAGATAGTATTTTTTTGCCTTGACTACTTACAATGTGAGGATAGGGATCCATGGGTATCCTTGCATATATTACTAGTAATCACTGTCGCTTATGTAATTGCTAATCTTCAGAGTGTTCATGAAAAGAATGTATTATGAAAAATTGTACTTGAATTTCAGAAATGTTTGCACCAGAATTTTAATTATTTTTCCACAAACTTTTTGAAATACCATCTTCTTTACATTTCATGAAGAAAATTTAGAAGAAAGTATACTGACATGTGACAACACATAATAATAGCGATATAAATTTTTAAAAATAAAATGGAAGACACTGTGTATACATGGGTATTTGCATATATATATGATCCACTTTTATGAAATATATAAATACAATAAAACATGCAAAAAGGAAGAGAAGCTAAATAGTACAAAGGCAGGGATGAATACAGTGGGTTAAAGTGAAATTCTGAGCTTCTCTGGATGCCAAGAATTATTAACCAAATTATAACAGGCCATGCAGAAATGTCTCAGTGGTTTGAGTATCAGAAACTGCAGAATATGATTAGTTGAACTGCCTGTACTTGAGCTCAACCATGGTTTACTATTTCTTTCTCTTGTGTAGTTCTGAGTTTTCATAAATTGACTATTAATATTCAAGATATTATTTTTGCTGATTAACTTTTTACAAGATTTACTTATTTATTTATTTGAAAGAGTTACAAAGAGAGAGAAAACATGAAAGAGATCGCACTTCCATCCTCTGGTTTACTCCCCAAGTGTCTACAGCAGCCTGGGCTAAGCCATGCCAATTCCATGACCCTTGAACTTTATTGAATTTCCTGATTGGATGACGGGCCCAAGGCCTTTGGGTGACCTTTTATTGGGAGATAATGGGATGTAGAACCGTTGGAAATTGAATGGCAGTCATGTGGGATGCTGGTGTTGCAGATGTGTCACAAAGCTGACTCCTGTTGATCTTTGGTTTTACTTTTTTCTGTCCATTTCTGTTCGGTACTTCATACTTTCATGATGTTTCTGTCAATGAGATCTTATGAAACAAGAATGATTTTACCCTTAACGTTAGGAGGACTTTGGGCAGTGATTGAAACATTGGAAGCAGAGTGCTACTGGCATCTAGTGGATAGAGGTCAGGAATGCTATTAAACATTTCACAAAACGTAGTTTGCTCATATGTTCCCTATAGCAAACTGTTACTGCTGTGGATTTGCTAGTGATTCTTAGATAGTCAGTGTCTCTTACCAACTTTTCATATAAATGTTCCTGAAGGCAAAGTAGGTGTACAAAGGGGACCAAAACTAGGCTGCAGACTACAAGTTGAATATGCTTGCTTAAAATTGTTTTCCAACTTTGATTTTCTTCTTTGCATTAAAAGTACTCTAGCATACTCACAGTGGTGCTTCTAATGTCGAATAGTGATTAAAGTACTCTTTCATTAATATTTTTGCAAGTGTGTTAAATTGAACTGAAAATACAACAGTGAATATTTAATAGTGGAAATGGTAGGTTTTTTTCTTAATTAGGCCATGTATGAATTTCATAGTAGCTCGAGAAATATATTAGAACGTGAATTTCAGAAACAGATAAAATCATGATATATAGATACAAAAACAAATGTGTAGCTATTGAAATATTTTATTTAACCCATGAGGAAGCCAGTCACATGTTTTAAGACATATGATAGATTAAGAATATTGAAATGAGTGTATAAACCAATTTCTCTACTGATGGGAGAGGGGAGTTAAATTTCCACTGCATGGGACCAGGATTGTTTTGAAATGCTGGTCATTACCTATGGTTTACAGAGTTGTAAAATAGTTTCAAAATTTAAAATCCAATACCTAAAGAATGTCCTTTAGATAATGCAAAAGTTTTTTCCCCTCCACATGCTATAGAATTCTAAATGACTTGCTTGGTAAATGATCATTGAATAAAGGAAGTGAAAGCACAGGGATTGTAGTTGGTTTTGTTGCTCAGTCTCTTGTCATATAGTAATATAAATGCTAATATTGGACATAAATTTCAAGTCCTTGTTATGGCATGTAAATTTACCCATGACCTCAGTGTATCTGTTTCAGATCTGTCTTACCTCTCTGCCTGCTTTGCGGCACACATATGTGCTCCCACCGCATGAAATCTCACCTTCCCTGAACACAGTTTACAAATACAGAGCTTCTTCTGCTTTTTTTTTTTTCCTTAGCATGTAACACCTTTGTACTTTTTAGTGCAATAGAAACCATGTTGCCCTTCATTTTTTAGTAAAACAAAGATTTCTCCTGTGAGGTCTTTCCTAATCTTCAAGGGATTGCTGTCTTCCCAGTGTTTCCAAGGTATATTAGTTCTCAAAGTGTGACCCCTAGTCTAGCAGCCTTACTTCCATTAATGTTTAGGAACTTGTTAGAATTATGAATTCTTTGACTCTACATACTGAATCAATTGGGGACCAGCAAACTGTCTTTTAACAAGATTCTTGGTCATTCTTATGATGTTAAAGTTCAGGGACCAGTGCCATGGTGGATTGTACTATTTTAATAGCTTTTTTTCCTTACACTATGTTTTCTATTAATATACCATCTATATTTTTCTCTAAGCCTTTTTAGAGTAATAACTCATATGTTGTCATTGTGGGTTCACTAATATATACTAGGTGGTCAATACATTTTGACTGCTCTGAAATTAACTACCTCTTGTATCAAATACTCCAAATGAAGTAATTAGGAAGCAAAATTTTTACCTTTTGATTTCATCATGAAAATTACACTGATTATTGAAATGAAGAAGTTAAAGGAAAAAAGCAAAATTGCAATTATATGTGTCCACTTCTATGCATACTTCCTTTATTCTGCTTCTCTTTTATAAAACATACCGTTTCATCTAACTTTGAAAGTACATGGAATCAATCTGTTTTGTTCTGTAACCAAAATACCAGCTAGAATTTGAAAGTATAAGATTATGGCATTAAGGAGTGGTGGATTTACATTGTGACTTCTCTCTTAAAGCTTCAATAATCCTCATTTGCCTCTTTTAGGAAATAGTGAATCCAGTTGCATAGGACTTAATGCGAAAACTAAAAGTCATTGAGTGTGGGCCCGGCACGGTGGCGCAAGTGGTTAATGGTCCTTGCCTTGCACGCCCGGGATCCCATATGGGCGCCGGTTCTAATCCCAGCAGCCCCGCTTCCCTTCCAGCTCCCTGCCTGTGGCCTGGGAAAGCAGTCGAGGACGGCCCAAAGCTTTGGGACCCTGCACCTCTGTGGGAGACCCGGAAGAGGCTCCTGGCTTCGGATCGGCATAGTATCAGCCCGTTGCGCTCACTTGGGGAGTGAATCATTGGACGGAAGATTTTCCTCTCTGTCTCTCCTCTCTGTATATCCGCCTTTCCAATAAAAAATAATAAAAATAAATCTTTAAAAAAAAATAATAACAACAAAAAAAAAGTCATTGAGTGTGAAATATCTGACAAAGGCAGAGCCTTTTGTAATTAGAGTTTTGAACTAGTCTTCTGTAATTAGAGTTTTCTTAATAGGCTTTGCCTTTGCGTTTCTTACTAGTCAAAGGTTAAAAAACAGTTATGTTTGTATTTTTAAGCTCTTATAAATATTTAAGGTCATCTTTTGAAAGCAGTATTGCTAGCAAGGTGGTTTGCAGATACGATATAGTATAAAACAGAGTGAAATTGCCCCTTTCGGAGGTTAGCTTTATCACAGTTCTGTCATTTTCATTCCTGGTTGCTTTTCTCCTTGTGTGCTGTATGTCCAGTTACTTCTTTTCATGTAAAATAGCATAAGCATTTAAGATAGCAGTAGAAGCTGTCTCATTGCAAAGCATAATTACGTTTGACACATTTAAAGAAAACTACTTCTCTTTGTGAAATACAGAACCGATTCATGTTTGCTTGATGAGAAATTTCCTTAGAGAAACCAACCACTGAATACATTGTAACATACAACTGCTTAGTTTTTATGTGAAATGACAAATTTGGTTATAGTTAGCTTGTAAAACCTAACAGTGTACAGGTCATATACTCTTAAACATAATTTTTCTCTTTGTTAATGATATGGAAGTTTTGTTTCTAAAAGTTTTTTTGCAATTTTTTTTATTAGTATTTTGCTAGAGATTCAAATTGCGTTATTCCACTGAATGACTGTACTAATACCTATTTGTAATGTTCCTTATTCTTAAGCATTTGTACTTTCTCGTTTTTTTTCCATTATTGATTACATAATTGAAAGGAATGCATGCCTATGTGCACCTCTGATTAGGATGGGGAGGGTCAGGCATGGAGGAAGGTGTGGAGGACAAATGTTTCTTTCTTTCCTTTTATGTCCCCAGGGGATGAGTGGGAAGGAGTTTTCTAACTACATTAGCACCTTTGATGGAAGACAGCTATTTGATGATATGATAGAGACTCCGAAGTGTGGAAATGTTCTGAGGGTATTACTTGTATGATTTTGATAGCTCCGAGAAGTTTTTGACTTAGTTACTGCAGAGTTGAGAAAATCTTTCCAACTCTCTAAACTCTAAGGTTTACCGAGTCCACCTTAGAGCATCCACAGACCCACAGACATGTTACAAAGCTTGGCCAGGATACTTGTTGAACCTGTTCTGCTTTCCATCCTTTGATGAGGCAGTTGATGTCCCCTGCTGGCCTAGATGAGCTAGCCTTCATGTCCCCCTTGTGCATCTGAACATGCTGTCCTTTGCACAGGAATCAGCAACTGAGAAGGCCCAGTACCTATTCGTGCACTCACAAGGTTGGACCACATATCTTGTGATTTCCCCTGTAGCTTGCACACTGGTATAGTTAACACCAATTTAACATTAACCTGGCCCAGAATGCCCGCCAGCTATTAGCTACTTTTCTCTTAGCAGTGTCACACTTAGCTAACCAGTTATAGCTGGGGAACATTTTTACTGTTTTTAAGGCACAGTGAATATTGCTACCGATTGTTCAGTCTGTGACTTTTGGTGTGGGGGAGAATTCAGCGCCATATTTTGGTATTTAAGAGTTTTGATCCAAAGTTCCCACATTTATAGGTTAATTATGTAGTTACAATTGCAAAATGCATATTTGTACATACCACCTCATTTAATGTGTTTTGTTTTGGATTTTTGTGTACTAAAAATAGGAATTAACATTTTGTAATGATTCATTTTGGTATTTGAAAGGCACAGTTACAGAAAAGGGATGGGTAGTGAGAAAGACCGGTATTTTCACCCGCTGCTTCACTTCACGTACAGCTGCAGTGCCTGGGGTTAGGTCAGACCAAAGCTCCATTTAGATTTCCCATAGAGATTGCATGGGTGCAGATATTTCTGCTGTTTTCTGCTGTATTTCTTAGGTGTGTCTGTAGTGAGCTAGATCAGAAGTGGAGCAGCGAGGACTTGAGATACCACTCATTTGGAATGTTGGAATCACAGCATCTTAACCTGCTGCCACGTAATGCTGGTCCCAAGAATTCATGTTAATCATTATTGTCTAAATACATTTTGTACAGAATACAGTGTTTAAGTAAACATTCTATCTTGATTTTTATTCATCGCAGTCAAATATGTTTAGATGATATCCCATTGTTTCTAATAATTTTTAGAAGCAAAATTTGCATTGTGTTATAAAAATAGGAAACATCAGGTGTTGATTTTTTTGTAGTGAATTGTAAATGTTGCACTGTGCTGCAAAACAAAGTTTAAATAACTGGATATCGGAGATTTTATTTCTTCAGTACTATGAGAGATTTAATACTATAATTTAAAATCTTCTGTGAATTATTTTAGCGGTCCCTACAGAAGTTGATAGCTACCATAGCCTGTTCCCGCTAGAACCACTGCCACCCCCAAACCGAATACAAAAATCAAGTAATTTTGGATATATTACATCTTGCTACAAAGCTGTAAACAGCAAAGATGATCTTCCATATTGCCTGCGAAGGATACATGGTAAGGAAGATAAATTTTCCTTTTATAATCATAACATTGAGGCTAAAATTACTAAGTTTCTTGCTGAATGTATTGGTTTATTTAATACATGAAAGATTGGTAAGTTTATTTCTTTAATTTCATACATTATAAGCCAAGTTATAACATGTTTCTGGTAGAGTACAAAGGAGTGTAGTTTACAGTTAACTAGTAAAAAAAATCTTTTACAGGTTTTCGTCTTGTTAACACAAAGTGCATGGTGTTGGTTGATATGTGGAAAAAAATTCAGCACTCAAATATTGTAAGCTTGCGGGAAGTTTTTACCACTAAAGCATTCGCCGAGCCTTGTGAGTAGTTTACCATAGCTGAGTAATAGCTGCTAAGCTTAATTATTTGAACCCAGATTTCAGTGATGAATGTTTGTGTTTTATTTTAAGCTCTTGTGTTTGCGTATGATTTCCATGCTGGAGGAGAGACTATGATGAGCAGACACTTTAATGACCCCAATGCTGATGCCTATTTCACAAAGAGAAAATGGGGTAAGAAAAGGATGCAAACAAGTTATGTTTTGACGTGTATTCAAGCACTGGGGAAAAGGAGTTTTGTATTTTTATATAAGTGTAAATGTATCCCTATAACCATTTAAGTAAACAGATCTATTGCATTTTGCAAAGAACACATTAAACACAGCTGATCTGCAATAAGTGACAAAAAATTGTGTATTCACTGAGTTGAAGACAGAAGACTCAAATGTGGGTTTGAAACAACTGGGAATGAGTTTTAAAAATCTCCCCCTCCCTTCTGAAATTGTGTTTTCTGAGTAAAAAATATGCATGAAATTCAGAGAATTAAGAAAATAATCTTAGTGCTTTACTAGTAAATCACAAGCATTATGAATCTTTTAATACATTTCTTTCCAGTCTTGTGTTTATATATCATTCTTTATCCTTTGTTATCTATTGCAAGTATTTTCCCCTTAAATCTTAGCCTGAGTGTAATTTATTTACCTTATCATCTATTGTGATTAATTCATCTTCTGTGCTATTTCCCTAAGAAAATGATGCTGTTCAAGATAGGATTCCTTATTACCTGGGCAATCAGAAGCTGGTTCCTTAGCATTAGTGTTGCGGGTCCTTCCTCCTGGCTGCTCTGTGTGCTGCACAACACACAGCATTAGCTTCTTGGCACTGCAGAGCTTCAAAAGCAGTCCTCTCTACACCAAATATGTCTTCAGATTTTCTGGGGGGGAAAAAAAAAAATATATATATATATATGTGTATATATGTATATGTATATATAGCCAAATGTTTCTTGGGGAAACAAAATATACCCCTTTTGCTAGCCACCCATTGGAACCGTTTTTACTCCTTAATTTCTGTTTTTAGTGTTTATTGATTGGTTGTCTATATTTCCCGAATCAATTCTTTTTGTAATATATTGAATTAATTTTTGGTGGTGGTCCTTCCTTTAAGAAACCTCGCATGTTTTAAAGTCTATAGTTCCCCTATACCGTATAATTTACAAGCACAAATTTAAAAATCTCATAAAAATCAATTATTTTGAAAATGGGACCAATATATTACATTTGATTTTATAAGAGCTTTAGAGTGAGTTGAAGTAGGTAAAATAACTAAGGCCAAACCTGACATGCAGTGCTAATTGTATTAAAAACTCCCTTTGCTTATTAGCACATTTATTTCATTTCAAATCTTTCACATTGTTGTACCACTTGTCGCTGTAATCACTTTATAATGGACACTTTTTCCAGAATATTTATCTTCAGTTCTGTCCAAATTGATAGATGATAGATTTTGTAGGATGCTTAATCTTTACTGGAGTACTTAGTTGAAGATGTCATGTTTTCCGTTATTTGCTTTATAGGTCAACATGATGGACCATTGCCCAGACAGCATGCTGGATTGTTGCCAGAATCTCTTATTTGGGCTTATATTGTCCAACTAAGTTCTGCATTGCGTACCATTCATACAGCAGGATTGGCTTGTCGAGTTATGGACCCAACAAAGATTCTAATAACGGGCAAGACGAGGTACAGCATGTTGAGTCTTAGCTTGTTTGTTGAGCATTTTATCTGTGACAGTAAATGAACCTTGATGATTTGTTTTAATTCTGTCATTTTATATTCCATCAAGAACTACTGTTGTGAGTTCATTTGTAAGTTTAGAGAGAACAAAAACAAAGATGGTGAATTCTTAATAAAATGCTCAGTTATGAGCCAAAAGTATTGATGTATGTAGCAAGGGTGTAGGTATCAGATTTTAGCATGAACCACACTCATCTGAAGGACTAATTAAGCACACTTGGTTGAACTCTACCACCAAATCTTTTTGTTTAGTGGATCTGGGCACCTGAGAATTTACTCTGAGGAGTTCCTGATGTTCTTGCTGCTGGAAAAGTCTGTGCTTTGATAACAGCAGTGTTACATAGCATATACCTTAACTTCACCTGAATTTTGAGTTGTTCTGATTTTCAGAATTGTCTTCAGGAGCATATTAGAAAAATAAAAATATCTGGTATCACGTTTCTTCAATCCATGTACTGATTCTGTTTGTTATGATTGATACCGTCCTAAACAAGTTCAAATTCCTCTGTTTACAACAGCCTTATTAGATGGGCACTATTATTAAGTACATTTTCTTCAATTTTAAGGTCATCAGTAGATTAGAATGTGTCAGTACATGTAAAATACTTATTAGAGCATTGCATAGTACATTTTTAGCAAGTTTTAGGAAACTGGTTAGTTCCCTTTCATGAGCAGCTAATAAACAACCCGGAGTAATTAAAAAGCAGTGGGAGGGTAAAATAGGGAGGGATTTAGGGGAGGCAGAGCGGGTAATTCCTATACCTATAAAACTGTGTCATGGAAAATAATAAAAATGTAAAATTAATTAAAAAATTGATACTGACCTGTTTGTCAAAAAATGTGAATTACAATGTTGGTTTTATCAGTCTTTCATAACTGGATTTATACTCCTTGACATCTCTGAACTTTAATTCCCTCATCTCAAAAATGGTGATTGGTGAGTGGTTTTAAGGGATGGACATTAAACTTAAATTCATATTCTGGGAAATGTAAGTTTCTAGTGGTACTTAATAAAACTTATTTTAACTATTTTGTTTACATTTTCTTGTCCTTAAAGGTTACGAGTAAATTGTGTTGGAGTTTTTGATGTTTTAACATTTGATAATAGTCAAAATAATAATCCACTAGCATTAATGGCTCAGTACCAGGTGAGTAAAAATTAGTGTGATAGTAAATGCTTAAATCTTTATTTGTTTTGGGTTTTCTGGGAAGGCAAATTGTGTTTAAAGCATTTCAGCATTTAAAATCTAGACTTCAGTTTAGAGTAGGTGGGTCTCTCGCGTGTAAGATAGTAGGAGCAGAGCCCTGAAAGGTTGGAATGTACACAGTTAATAACAGCTGTGTGGTAGGAAAACACGCTTATGTGATGAAGATGTTTGTCTTCAATATAGTTTGAAACATTGATTAGTTAGATTATATGAAATGACACCATATAATTCACTTTTTAAAAAAAGGTTTATTTTTATTGGAAAGTCAGATATATAGAGAGGAGAGACAGAGAGGAAGATCTTCCATCCTATGGTTCACTCCCCAGGTGGCTGCAACAGCTGGAGCTGAGCCAATCTGAAGCCAGAAGCCTCTTCCGGGTCTCCCACATGGGTGCAGGTTCCCAAAGATTTGGTCTGTCCTCGACTGCTTTCCCAGGCCTCAGACAAGGAGGTGGATGGGAAGTGGGGCTGCTGGGATTAGAACCAGCACACATCTGGGATCCTGGTGCGTGCAAGGTGAGGACTTTAGCTGCTACGCCATTGTGCCAGGCCCAGCACTGTACAATTCACTTTCATAACATTGGTTATTACTTTTAGAGCCTTTGTTACGCCTGGTAATCATAGAATTTTGAAAGTACTTTCAAGCCTGTTATATTTCCATTTCCTATGCATTTTTTTTCTTTTATTTAGTCAAAAAGTATCGCTCACTTCTTGTACATTATCACAATTGGATTATTGCCTGACATCGTTATAGTAGAGTTGATTTTGGTCCCTCCTTTTTTGGTAACAATTTTGCTGTTTTTTATGAGAAGGTATGGGAGCATAAGAGCCTGTACCTGTGAGGGAGACTTAAGAAGAGCTTTCGCCTTGACTGTCCCTGCAGTAGACAGTTCATGTAATCCAGTTTGTATTAGGGTGTGCACCCATCATTGGAGGACAATTTTAGTTATTTGCAAAGTAGAAGTTTTTAGATTTCTTTTGACATTTATCAACTTACAGAAAGCTGATTAATAGACAATCTTGTAGAGAAGCACTTTACCTTGCCCTTGCTCTTCTATTTACAGCTCCTTTTTGTTTAAAGCTTTTGATGAAACTTTTAGTTCAAAACTTTGACAACATTTCAAAATAAAAAATAATAAAAGGGCAAAATGAGAAATAGTGTCTAAGCATTTCAATTCATACCTGAATCTCTTCTGCTACTGAGCTTTGGATAAAGGAATGGAAGATATCCAGGCGCTCGTTGACATTGTACACAGATGTTCAGATGTCCTCTGCCTGTGCCTGCTTGGCTCACAGCAGCTGACCTGTTGTGGTTGGCAGCCTTGTCTGTAGACACATCAGGAAAGAATCTGATTGTTTTTATCACCCTCAGCAACTTTGTTCCACCAGAGACGATGTACTCCCTCCTTCTTATCTGGGGTGATTCATTTTTGGCTACTTTACTTCATGGACAAATTTTTCTTCCCAGTTTTCTTATTTCAAAAAATGATTAATATCCGTCAATTAAAAAAACAGCTGTAATCTTCACACATGCAAGAAAATAACGCTAATTTAGAAGTTACTTAGGAGTCAGTGCCATCAGTTTTTCCTTTTTGGGGGTAGGGAGTTGGGTGTTGATCTGGAAAAACTTGTCCGTTTCAAAGCCAACACATGCGTTCTGGTCACCTCCTTAGTCTTTTCTGACTTGGCTCCTGCTTCTCTTCCTTAAATTTTTCATGTATCGTAAGACAGTTTGGGTTTTGTTTTCTGTATCATTTTTGCTTTTTATTTGTAGTTGTACAGTGTTTAGGTATGGGTTGTATAGTTACCATAAAAGACAAAATACTTCAAAAGAATGAATCATCAGGTTCCAAACAGCTAACTTTTTATGCAATTCGGACAAGTGATTTGTATGTCAAGAACTGTTGAACTGTTTTCATTTTTTAACTCAGCCACTCGACTTTTAGCCAATTGTTACATCCTCTTCTGGTCTCAGTAGTAGAGGATACTCAACTTTCTTCATTTAAAAACCTTTTGATATGAGAGAGAGAGAAAAGATATTTTTCATTCAACTTATTATAAGATATAGAAGAGAATTAACGATAGATATTCCAAAAGGGGGAGTGAGTATAATTTACAGAGAAGATGACACAGGGGAAAGGAGTGCATTGTTTCTTGTAGTCTGTTTTGTAGTTTGTTTCAGACACGTGAGTAGAGACTAACTTTTTGAGTATAAGTGGGGGGAAATCCCTGAAATCAGCAAATGGGGGAGAAAAGACCAGATGGAAGTAAGAATCAGTAATAATAAATGAAAAATTATATAGCTGGAAAATGAGGCAAGGAGAGTTATTGATCATTCATGTTAAGTATATTAAACTAGACTTTATCAACCTTTTCAAAATTAAAGCTGTAATCTGAATTGTGAAAAATATGTATTTTTAAAAATAAGTGTTCCCATGTGGAGTCACCTTTGAGAGAACTGTGCCACATTATATTCTAGGTTTGAAAACACCCAGCTCTCCAGCTGCCTTAGACATTGTTTTTTCTTGTCTCATAAGGAATCACAGTTTGATTCTTTGCACAGCATCGTTTCAGGGTAGAGACAAACTGAAAATTATATTGCTTTAAGGGTTGGTAGTTTGTAGATTGGAAACTGCTGCTCAAGTCCTTGGTAAATTCTAACAACTTTCAGTTTGCTTTGGTGGATAGATTGAATTAAAACAGTGATAGGAAATGTGCAGTCAGCATTGACATTTGTTGATTTCTCCTGAGCAAGATTTTTATAATTCATGGCCTGCAATATTTAGTTGATTGTAAATATGATTGAGGGACTTTTCTTGTCATTCATAGTAATGCACTCGAAAAAACAGAAGTAGCGGAAATAGTAGTAGTCTACCTTGGTTCCTGTGTTGCCTGCCCTCCTGTCCTGCTGGGCTCTTAACTCCATACCGCTAGAGAAATTTCACAAGTTTCTCTGAAATATTTTGCAAATGGAGTTTACTTCCTGCTGTCATTATTATTTGACTATATTGTTGTTATGAATAGCCATATTGTTGGGGCCTGGTGTATTGGCCTGATGGCTAAAGTCTTTGCCTTGTATGCACTAGGATTCTGTATGGGTACTGGTTCTTGTCCTGGCAGCCCCACTTCCCATCCAGTTCCCTGCTTTTGGCCTGGGAAAGCAGTCAGGGACGTCCAAAGCCTTGGAAACCTGCATCTGTGTTGGCAACCAGGAAAAAGCTCCTGGCTCCTGGCATTGGATCGGTGCAGCTCCACCTGTCACAGCCACTTGGGGAGTGAATCAGTGGAAAGAGGATCTTTCTCTCTGTCTGTCCTCCTCTCTGTAAATCTGACTTTCCAATAAAAATAAATAAACTTTTTTTAAAAAAAATAGCCATATTGTGCTAAAACTTCATTAGTGGTTGTCTTAAGATACTCACCTGGTTTTCCAAATACACCTTTTAGGCATTGTCTGCTAAACTTGGGGTTCTTACTCCTACTTATGTATTAAAATCTTGAGGGTGCTTTGAAAACGACTAATTCCTCAAGGTTACTCCAGAATAATACCAAAGCTAGGGGGAAGAAATGGCCACTAGGTTGCATGGTTTGGTTTTTAAGCTCCTTAGATGATATAAAATTAAAACTGGCTTGAAAACTACTAAATAAATCAACATTCAAAACAATGAGTATGAATCCATTGTTCCAGAAGGGAGCTCAGGTTTTGGAAGATATATGGAAATATGTCATATGGAAATATGTCAAAACTATCTCGAATGATTTTGTGTTAACTGACCCAACCCCATTCTCTTAGGCATGATTATTAAGCAGGGCCATTCTCTTTCTTGGTGTTCTGGGTAATGAAGCACTCACTTCAGCCAGTTGTGTTTGGAAAATGTTTTTGGAAGAAAAGCCTCAACATGGTAAACGTATTTTAAACAAACAAACCAAAAGGAAAAAAGAAAAGGAAGAAGAAGAAAAATGGTGATTCTAGAGCTCCCAAGTATGCATATGAGGTGTCGTTGGAGGTTCTCAGCACTCTATTCCTAAAGACATGAGAAAAAAGTATATCTTCAATTGCCAACGTCTTAGTAAAGCAAGAGTACAGTAACCTTGAATTTGTTGTAACAGTGTCATTATCCTCTCAGTTTAAAGGAAAATTAATTTTTATAACCAAACCAAACAATAGTTCCATGGTTAGGATGTGAATAACACTTCTTAAAATGTCCTAGAGCAACCTCGTCAGAATTACCTGAATGTGGTCAAAATGTTTGGTCCATTCCCAAATCTACTGAATGATACTCTACCCCAGAGACTGAGAAATCATGTTTGTAATAAGCTCCCGCATGATGCTGATGGCAACCAGTACCTGTAAACCTTAAGTTCTGCAGCTTTTTTTTTTTAAACAGTGCCAACTCCCTTTTAGGCAGTCGTATCGTGTGTGCAATGTGTACTCATAAAGTAAAAATTAAAAGTATGTTTTATTCTTCCATTTCAGCAAGCAGATCTGATATCATTAGGAAAAGTTGTATTGGCTTTGGCTTGCAACTCTTTGGCGGGAATTCAGCGGGAAAATTTACAGAAAGCCATGGAACTGGTGACAATCAACTACTCCTCTGATCTAAAGAATTTGATTTTGTAAGTTGTCATTTATGATAAGACATATATAATGATCGTGAGATAAGCCAGAGCTTTTTTGTTTCAAGTTAGGGTATTGCTTATTTTAATAAGGAACCTTTTAACAGTGATTCTGTTCCCACCATTTAAAATAAACAAGAGAAATTTTTTATTTCTGTGTTTTTATTGCTAAGTATATATTTCTTAGATTAAGTACACAAAGCAGTGTGTTTAAATTAGTTATTAATGTTTTAAGCATTTGGTCAGAGAGCAACCTCTAGAGCTTTATTGGTATTCACTGGCTGTCTGGAACCTTTTCCATTAAAATTAATTAAATTAATTCATTTCTTCAGTTACACTAGACACATCTTACAGGTCAACAGCCACATGTATCTCCTGGCTGACATTTTGGATATCACAAATATACATCATTTCCATCATCTCAGATCTGTGGGACAGTAACGCTCGAGGGGGAAGGGTATCACAAATATGGGTCAGGTGCAAACCAGTTACATTGTGATCCAAAGAAGTGTGTGTAGAGTCCCATGCTTATGCTACAGTACCTTAAGACCCCAGAAAATCTTTGAGTGTAGGTTTGAAGTAAGTTTGTTTTAAGAAACCCCCTGAGACTACTGTCACCAAAGATGAGCTGCTTCTTAAGATTCATCTAATATTAGAAGATTCCTCCGGGTGGACAAGCACAACCTTTATTATAGCAATTGTTTTATGCAAGAGATGCTAGAAAGTCTCTTTTGAATTTTTTCCTATTATGTTCTAGAAATAATTAGAACTTATTGATCCTAATCAACAGTCTCTTTTAGCTTCCAGCTGTCCCTTCTGATCTTTCTGTGTAGCCCTGGATGATCCAGTCTTTTTGGACCAGCCCTGGGGTATGGAATTGGGGGATGGAGGATGGGGCTGCCCACCTGTTCTTTCTTATCTGGAGCACTGGAAGCCAGTTGTTGCCTGGATCTTACTAATAATCAAACAAGATGATTTCTCTTTCAAATAAAAATATTTCACATTTAATCATAGCAGTGATTCCTAGCCTTAGTTTGCAACATATAGTATGTTTTAAATAATCTCAGGTTATAATTTTTCAATTTTTATTTTTAAAAAATGGGAATAGAGAACGTAAATATAAGACATTGGTTATCTGTTAATGATTAGAACTAGTTAACCATCCATGGGGATTGATTACAATATTTTTTACTTTTACAGATGCTTGAGTTTTTCCTTAATAGAAAATGAACCCAAAAAAACCCATACTTTGAAATAATCACAAATCAGAATTTATGGTGCAGTAAAGTATGATACTTTGAACTTGTTTTGGTGTGAATTAATCCACATAGTACTCACAGTAACCCTAAAAATCAGGTATTAACCCCATTTTAGAAATGACAGAATTGAGAGGTAAAGAAACTTGCCAAGGTCATATAGCGTACTACAACTTCTGACATGTTTAGTTAGACACAAATTTGTCAGCAATTGTAGATGCATAGCTGAAGACACACATTATTCACATGGATATAATCATTTGTTCGCTCAATGAAAGAATGCCTGCTATTTGCCGAATGCTGTTAACAAGATGGACAAAATTAATTCCCATTTTCTAGAATTTACATCCTTCGGGGAAGAAATAGAGTAAACATAAAAGCAAGTAAGGTATTTTCAGATAGTTACATGGATGATGAAGAAATAAGCTAGATACCATAAATGTAAGAGTGAAAAAGTGGGAGATTGCTTTAATGAAGATAGAGAGTAGCTTTTACCAATACAAATAAGCAGTAGTAGATGACTGAGAATCATTGACTTTAATGAGTAACCCTTTGACTATAAGTAGATAATATTCTCTGCCTTAGGTATTGATAGAAAAAAATTAAACTCGGTCTCTTCTGATATGTTAGTGCATGAAGCTTTCTCATAGATAAATATGACAACTGCTAAATAAAATCAAATTAGGGCACTTGTTTCGAAAAATTGGGAGCTTGTTCAGTTTAGCAAAATTTAAGATTCAATTTTAGTATCAAAAATTGTCTTTGAAGAACATCAGGAAAAGCTCCCCTCTTAAAGCCATTCCATGTTACATCCTTCTTAGAAATTGTGTGGCAGTCTTCATCTACACAATTGTAAAGTAGGATTTGAGAATGGAAATTGTTAAGTGTAACATCACTGCATTTTTCTTTCTCATTTCCAACATAGTGAAAATGTAGAAAAGAGACATTTATCTCCATTGCTTTTTAAAATTTCTTGGGGAAATAAATATAATAAGTGACTTTTAAAAATGAACTTGACTTGCATGAAAAATTGTTCTCAAAATTGTGTGCACTGAGTTGATGGCAGTAGCAAGAACTGTGTGAGTTTTGTTGCTTTGTGAATTGTTTGATGAGCTTTCAAGTGATTCCTCTTTATCTTGGTTAGGTACTTGTTAACTGACCAAAACAGAATGCGAAGCGTAAATGACATCATGCCCATGATTGGTGCTCGATTTTATACTCAATTGGATGCTGCCCAAATGAGAAATGATGTCATAGAGGAAGATCTTGCGAAGGTAAAGCATGCAGTTGAAAGGTTATACCCACTCTTGCATCTGGGTGTGTAAACATGTATAAACCATAATAGTCATTGCATTGAGTACATTACCTAATTGGATAGCAGAGTAAATGCTTCTGCCCAAAGTGGACGTTTAGTATTTTATTTCCCTATGTCCTTTCGGCATTTTCTTTTTACCCATGGCTTTACTACGGTCACATGATGGAAATCTTGTGTATGTGGATTTTTGTATGTATTAAGCAATTCCTAAGATTGCTCAGCTGCCTGATCCTCTGGAGTACTAGTATTGAAAGAAATGGAACTTTGTATTAAAGGTATATCCAAGAATGGGTTTGTTGTTTAAAAGTAATGTTGGTAAAGTGGCATTTTTAATGAATTTAGTGTTATTCAGTTAGCTGAAACATTAACATTCTCTCTCTTTTTAAAATGTTTTTATAGGAGGTTCAAAATGGAAGACTGTTTAGGCTTCTAGCAAAATTGGGAACAATCAATGAGAGGCCAGAGTAAGGATTTACAGTATTTTTTCACTGTGTTTTCAACCAAGGGCACCATTTTTCATAACAAGACTGAGTGTACCTTATTCATTCTGCTTTGATTTGGAAAATAAAAAAGCATTCTCATGTAAAATTACCTTAAAAATATGTTTGTCATTAGGGTGCTTTTTTTTTTTTTTTGAACCATAGCCTAGGTGTAGTTGCCCATCCATAGGAATTTTACATATTTATATGCATGCAGAAAAAATACTGTTAGAAATCTTTGTTGTGGTTTGCACACAAAGGAACATTTTATGAGTACTGCTGCTTCTACCCTGTGTTCTTTTTGAAGCATTGTTCAATCAGTTTTCTTTGATCCTTTCAAGAAATTCAGCAGTCTAATTGTTACTTGCCTCTTAATCTTCTATTGGTTGTGCTGCCTTTAGTAGCCATCACGTCAGTGGCATTTGAAAGACATGACCATTTGACACCGTTTCTGCCTCATTTGTTAATTTAGTCATATTCATAAGCAGAGTTGATGTTGGTAATACGTAACTCTCAAAGAACATTTCATGTCTATTTCATCTTAATAGATAGGTGATAAATCAATATCATTACTTGAGGTTTTTGTTTTGATAAAATTCAAATTTGCTTTTCTTAAGTCAGCAGATTCAGTGTTTTTTCCAATACTTTTTCTAAAGGAAGAGAGAAAATACATTGAACCAGCTTTGAGAACTGTTTTAGCTAGTCCTTGTGATGCATCTCTTTCACAATGCCTGCTTATAATGCTTCAGCTTGGCTGTTTTCTACGTCCACTAATGACTCATCCCTCTGCTTTGATACATAAATGCTTGAATATGTTCTGCCATTTAACCCATAAATGAGCTATTTGAATTTGAATATTCAGGGTTGACATAAGTATGATTGAGTTAATGTTTATAGCTTTACCACATAATAAAGTATAATTATTACTAAAGATGATTTCTACTTCCTTTCTTCTGTATAGTTTTGAATTCTTCCTCTGTTCCCTCACTCTCTGTGTCCCTGCCTGGGTTAATCATTGTGTTATCTGGAAAACTAAGCAAATGAAAGATTTTTCAGACTCTCTCCCAAAGTTAAAAAATACCTTTCGTGCCTTTGGGACTACTGTACTTTAAGCCTACACACTGACACTTTAGAGGTTTGAATCAGTAGTGCCTTAGGAGTTTATTACACTTTCCTTATTGATAGTATGACTACCCATAAAATTCTGGAGTATCCTCAGGAAGCTGTGATTGAATTAAGAGTGAGCACATGAAAGAAGCACAAAGGTTTTTGGTGGAAGATACGGTCCCACTATCCTTTTTTGTTTTGTTTTATTTTTTGAGATTTATTTATTTGTATTGGAAAGGCAGAGTGAGAGACAGAGATCTTCCATCCACCGGCTCACTCCCCAAATAGCCAAAATGGCCAGAACTGAACTAATCTGTAGTCAGGAGCCAGAAGCTTATTTTAAGTCTTCCATGTGGGTGTAGGACTTAAGGCCATCCTGCTCTGCTCACCAGGCCATAATTTGGGCACTTCATTGGAAGTGCCCGCCAGGACTCAGCTGGTGCTCATTAGGGACACTTAATGTCACAGGTGGAGACTTAGTTAACTGTACCACAACACCAGCCCCTATAATCTCTTTTTAAGATATATTTATTTTTGTTGGAAAGTCAGATTTCCAGAGAGAAGGAGGGACAGAGAGAAAGATCTTCCATTTACTGGTTCACTTCCCAAGTGGCTGCTACAGCTGGAACTGAACTGATCTGAAGCCAGGAACTTCTTCCAGGTTTCCCATATAGGTACAGAGTCCTAAGGCCTTGGGTCGCACTCCATTCCTTTCCCAGGCCACAAGCAGGGAACTGGATGGGAGTGGAACAGCTGGGAGATGAACCAGCACCCCATGAGATCCGGTGCATGCAAGGCTGGGATTAAGCCACTGTGCTGTCACACCAGGCCCATAATCTCATTTCTGCCTGATATGCCCAGGTCTTCCAATTACCTTTATCAGTGTTTGTTTTTAATTTTATGTACATATTCCAAGTGTTATAAATACAGCTAAATATTGTTATCTCTCCTTTATACATATACAGAAATTTGAAGTACATATAAGCTGTACACAGTATTCTGCTCTTTTCTCCTATCAGTGTTTTAGAAATCTGTTTAGGTATGTTGAGACTATGCAGAGCACCACTTAACTAGTTTTACAGGTAAGGCCTTATTTGTCCTAACATTCCTGTGTGAATGTGCTGTTATTATTCGCATTTAACAGAAATTGAGGCATACAGAGGTTATACAACATGTCCAGGTGACATAAAGTGTAAGTATATGAACTAGTATTCCAACCTAGACAATATGATTCCAGTTCTGTGTTCTTACCCACCACATTAGATGTCTTCAAACCTTATGCCTAGCTAATAAATCCTGTGGATCAACTGGGATTTATTTCTCCAGTTCCCAGGAGATGTTCTTTTGCGTTGTTTCGGTCTATTGCCTAGTATAAACAGTGCTAAGGGGACTGAATTATCCATATATAATTTTGTGCATTCCTAAATATAGTCCTGTTTTAATTGGTAGCTCAGTGAATGTGACACTGTTATTTCAGAACTTATAGAAAGGATTTGCCAATTTGTGAGTCACAAGAATGCCTCACTAAAAACTGTTTTTTAGACTTTTTGATTTAAGTCAACCTAACTGACAAAAAACTGCATTTCAGTGCATTTTTTAAAAAGCTGGTCATTCTTTATGCAGTTATTGATATATGTAGGCTGGTCATTCTTTATGCAGTTATTGATATATGTAGGCTAATCAGAATTCTTTAATGTTTGCATCTTGAGTTGTAGTTAGTCATAAAGTTCTTTATGACTGCCAGGATTATGAAGGATTTATTTCAAGATTTCTTCAAGAATGTTTTTAGCTTCATTTTTCCATATTAAAATTTTGAGATCATTGACAGTTATGTATAGTTCAAAGTGTAAATCCAGTGTGGCCTTTTTGGGTTTTGCTTTTGGTTTTTCCCCTGACAGAGACTGCCTGGTAGTCTGCAGTTTAGTAAATAGTTACTGACCTCCACTGGCCTAGAGCCCCACTCTTCCATAGTAACTTCATGAATGAAGTTTTTAAATTCTGGTAATACTTGTTCTTTCCCATTTCATGTTATGTCATTCCATTGCTCTCTTCAAACTGTTTTATTTTCTCTCTAAATTCTTGAACTGAACTGTTTAGCTTAAAAAAAATAAAACAGATCAACCTGAGGCATTTTTTTATAGGGAAGAGAGCTTATTCTGTTAATAAATGTTGTTTTAGATGTTAAGTCATCTTAACATCATGGTGTATCGTTATTTATGTCTGAGTTTTAGCATCTTTTTAGCTTATTTGTCTTGTTGCCTTACATGTGTGAATTCCTTTACTCATTCTTCCTTCTTAATGCTGGTTTTGATATATATGAAAGTTATTTCCTTCTGGATCATGACACCCTTTCATTTGGATAAATTTTCAGTAGATTGTCGTGGAGTTCTCAGGTAAATATCAGATCCACCAGTTGATAGTTACATTTCTTTCTCTTATAGTATCTAGACTTTTCATTTTCCTTGTGTGTATTAGCTGGCATTTGCATGGGTAAGTAATAGTAAGGACAGTTACATTTGTTGCCCCATTGTCTTTGGAATTTCTGGACAAAAATTATTGCCTTTCTATATTTTTCCTTTCTCCCTTAGCTTTTGCAGTCTTTTCTTTATTGCCGTAGGTTAGAAATTCACCGTGAAATACTTTGGAGTTGGTTGAGTATGAAAAATGAAACACATGCTCATGATGTTTGTGCAATAAACAGTCTGTGTGACTGAGGTAAAATATTGGCTTTCTCAGGTTTCAGAAGGATCCTACCTGGTCAGAGACTGGAGATCGTTACCTGTTGAAACTCTTTAGGGATCATCTTTTTCATCAGGTGACAGAAGCGGGTGCCCCCTGGATTGACCTCAGTCACATCATTTCTTGTCTTAACAAGGTAACCTTAAAAAACAAAGCAAAAAAGCCATTTGTTGGGGCTAGTGTTGTGTCAGAGTGGGTTAAGCTGTTGCCTCTGTCCCACCGTCCCATGTGAATGCCAGTTCGATGCATGCTCCTCTGTTTCCATCCTGTCCCATGCTAATTCACCTGGGACAGCAGTGCTGGATGGGGCAGGTGCTTGAGCACACGCGTGCTTGAGCACACGCATGCGAGAGACCTGGATAAAGTTGCAAACTCCTCATTTGGGCCTGGCTCAGCCTCAGCAGTTGTGATCACTTCAGGAGAAAAACAGCTGCTGCACGATCTTTCTCTCTTTACCTTCCTCTCTACTCTGCCTTTCAAATAAATAGTTAAAGAGAGAATGCTTCCAGTATTTCCAGATAATTCTGGTTCACTCCCTAAATGACTATAATAGCTGAATCTGGGCTGTATTTGGAACCAGGTATCCTATCATGGTCTGCTGTATGTGGAGAACATTAGCCCATATACTTGGGCCATCTTCTGCTATCTCAGAACGTCGGTGTGATGTTGGATTGGAAGTAGAGTAGCCAGGACTGGGACCTGTTTTCTCAGTATGGGATCCTCAAACCTACAGTGGCTCCTTAAACCTACAGTGCCACAGTGCCATTCCCAGTATCTGAGTGTTAAAGCGTATAATGTATGTAGTTTGTAGAGTTGCATCTTTTAGAAATACTAGGAGACTTGAAAATCAACATGTAATGTCATGGTCTATGTTTTATAACATTTTCTAGAATAAAAGAATCTTTTTTACAAGAATAATTTCAAATTTTTGTTGTGATAATGTGTTACAAAACAATTGCTTTTTTCCCTTTCCTTTGTTGTATTATATTTACATGTTATTTTTATTCCAGTAAAAAATTTTGAGTCCGGAAAACAGAAAAATCATTTTGAATTTTTTTTTTTAATTGAATCCTTAGTTCTATATTCTGAATTGTATTGAATGTTGTCATGTTTGCTACTATCTAATAGTGGAAGCACAATATTGGTAACTAGTTCCTGCTGTTATAAACGGTAAACTGAGTAATTAGTGAACATATTGTAAGTTTATTGGAGTGAAGAGCCCTTGGTTTTTGAAAGCCATGGAAATTTTACAGAGGAAAAAAGGAACCGGCTACTCTTGTGAATTACATAGGATTAAAGAGTTTAAAACGGACCTACAGAGGTCAACTCTAGTCAGTAGACAGATTTATGTTTAAGCCAGGGATGGCAAGCTGCCCCAGCATCAGCTCCATCCCACAGCTTGCTTCTATACAGCCTTCAGGTTTTAAGAAGCATTTTGGTTTTGTCTTTTAAATGAGTAAAGAGGAAGGACACAAGGAATTGTGACAGAGACTTTAAGTGGCCAAAACCTGGCATATTTTCTGCCTGACCCTTCATGAAACTCAATTGCTGACCTAAGTTATAAATACTACAGGAGAAAGTATTCCATACAGCACATGACTGGAACTGTTAATGACGGAGCAGCAATCCTTCAGGGAAGATCTTGGGGTGTTTTGTTATCAGGCATCACTTTGTTGTTTGGATTTCCTTAAAACTATTGTAGAAAATTTGTCAAAAGCCTACATTGACAACACGAAATTGACTTGAGTGTGCCATTGAACTAATTCATTAGGATTTATATTTTCATTTTCCCTCAATTTCTCTTATGGATAAAACATTTTCTTCAAAAAGTGGGTAGAGAATAGTTGAGCAGATATTAAAACATAAGCTATCCATAGCATCCAGGATTCAGTGAACAAAACCAGGTGAAATGGGCATGGTTTGGGGCACAGTCGTCAGACTGTCACATAGGTGCCCTCATCCCTTTTCAGAGTGTCTGGGATTGACTCCCACCTCTACTTCTGATCCAGCATTTCTCCTAACATGTACCCTGGGCAGGAGTAAGTACCTGAGTCCCTGCCACCCACACGCGAGAGTTGGTGGCATTTAAACTCCTAACTTCATCCTGGCCTAACCCTAGCTCTTGTGGGCTTTGGGGAAGTGAACCAGTGAATAAGAGATGATACCTCATTTCCTCTCTTTCTCCCCCTGCTTCCCATTTTTCTTTCAGATAGAAATAAGTATAAGTCTTCATATGTAAAACTTATGTATAAAGACTGACAATTACATCCTATGAAATGAAGTGCAGTTACATTAACACAAGATTATTTAATGAATATTAGGACAGTTGAAAACTTGAAGAAAATTCTATTGTATATCTATGGTAACATAGTAGTAAATAAAATTATCCCAAATTTGAAGAGTATCAATTACTCTGTTTGTAAACAACATGGTAAATTAGGACCCAGCAAGGTAGCCTAATAGTAAAGTCCTTACTTTGCATGCCCAGGATCCCGTATGAACACCAGTTCATATTCTGACTGCTCCACTTCCACCAGCTCCCTGCTTATGGCCTGGGAAAGCAGTGGAGGATGGCCTAAAGCCTTGGGACCCTGCACCTGTGTTGGAGACCCAGAAGAAGCTTCTGGCTCCTGATTCCTGCCTTCAGATTGGCACGTTTCCAGCCATTGCGGTTACCTGGGGAGTGGACCATCGAACAGAAGATCTTTCTGTCTGTCCTTCATTCTATAAATCTGACTTTCTAATAAAAATAAATAAATCTTGAAAAAAAGAATATGATAAAAGAAAAGGAGGCCATATTAATTCTATGAAAGTCAAGATTTTAAAACTATCTTATTTTGATAGAAGTCATAGGAGAAATTAGAGTTGAAAGTATCAAATCGTAAAGATCACTATCAATCAAAAATATTTTGATAAGTATATAATCTGCAAGACATTCATTTAGTAGGCTTGTTGGTAAATTGTTGCAATTCCTAAACCAATATTGGTCTAATCAGTATCTTTTGGAAAACAATTGACTGTATGTATGAAGCTGTACAATCACTGATGCTTTTTAACTTTGTTTATATTTTTAACTATTTCCCCTAAGGGAAAAGTCCAGTGGGTGAGAAAAATATTAGATGAATATTTTCATTGCACTGTAATCATGACATTTAAAAATGGAAACTCAGATAGTGTCCCTCAGCCACAGTGGGGTCAAGGGACCAGAGCTGAGCAGTGACCCAGGGCTGTCTGAGTGACTCCACAGTGATGAGTCTGGGCCTGTCTACCAGAGGGCCAAAGTCAGTCCCTGAGAGAAGGCAGCCTTTGTTGACTCTGCCATGGCGTGGTGAGGCTGAGGCCAAGAAGAAAAGTCACAGAATAGTTGGTAAAGTTGGACAGAAATCAGAACCTGTAACTCTAGGATCGTTTAGTCTTAAACAAACCCTAAGATATTTCTTTCTTCCTTGTTTAATTAGATAGAGTCAGAAAGACTGAGAAAGAAAAAGAATCTTCTATTCACTAGTTCACTCCCAGATGGCCTGGGAGCTCTGTCCTGGTCTTTTGCATGAATGGCAGGGGCCCAAATTTTTGGGCCATCTTGCATTGCTTTTACCAGGCCTTAAACAGGGATCTGGATTGGGAGTGGAGTTGGCTGGGACACAGAGCAGTGTGCCTATGGATGCTGGCATTGTGAGCAGGTGGCTTTATCCACCAGTCCTTATCACTAGCCCCAGTGTTAAGATTTTTGCAGATTATGTTATGGAAGAACATGCCCAAAGCTGAAACAAGCCAACAAGCAACTCCAGATAGCTGAGAGTTGATTAGTCTAACACTGAATGAATCAGATCAAAACATAGGAGAAGGGCTGCGTTGTGACAGGTTTGGGTTCTTTATGCTGCACAGACATCTCATATGGGTATCAGTTCAGATCCTGGTGCTCCTTTTCCAATCCATTGGGCCTGGGCTCCTCTTTCTTACCCATGTGGGAGACCCAAATGGAATTTCAGATTTTGGCCTGACTAAATCCCATGTGTTGGGACCATTTGGATAGTGAACCAGCAGATGCAAGATAGCTTCCCTCCTTTTCTCTGTAATTCTGCCTTTAAAATAAAATTAGTAACTTTGTGAAAGAGAGAATGGAACTGGGACAAAACCTCATGGGGGAGAGGAAAGTGGAATCTGGCCTGCCTCACCTCTACTGCCACTAAGCCACTAAGCCTGCTGTTCAAAGATCAGAAAACCATAAGCAGACAACTGTAGTTATACTATAGTAAACACCCAAAACAAAATCCTGATTACAGAGTGGAAGAAAAACAGATATGCGAGATCATACTGCCTGCGGTGCGTTCAAACATGGGATGCCAGTTTGGGGACAACTAGCATTTATTAGGTTCTGAAAAGCAGAAGTGAACTGCACTATTGATTGCACACACTGTGGCTGCTGGGGCTGTCCAGGTCCCTGCCTTTCATGCAACCTGCTCTGCAGAGCGGTGCTGCAGGCCCACGATGGAGCATGGCCTTTACAGGTGAAGGCTTCGGTGTTCATCAGCTGTGCTCAGTAAATTCAAACCTTAAGACCTCAATAAATAAATAAGATATTGGAGAATAATTGCTTTATAGCATATCAAATGGATGGAGTATAGAACTGTGGGATGCTTAAAAAACATTGCTTTTAAAAATTATATGCGTGCTTATTATTGGTATAAAATACTTACAGATGCTGCACAGGGCTGTCAGACATTATATAAATATTTTATAAGTTATCAATGTTGGAAATGTCCTAACCTACACTGGATTTCCTTCCCTATTGTGAGAGCTTTCTGTTTGTGACTCTGTTTCAGCTGGATGCTGGTGTGCCAGAAAAAATCAGCCTGATCTCCAGGGATGAGAAGAGTGTACTCGTGGTGACATACAGTGACTTGAAGCGCTGCTTTGAAAACACTTTTCAAGAACTGATTGCAGCTGCAAATGCTCAGTTGTAGTATTTGCTGAAAAGCGCGCAGGACACCGCTGAGAAAACTAACCAATAGCAAATTGCACTACAGCTGAACAGTTTTCATCATCTCATTTCACATTTGGGAAACAAACAGGAGATGAGCAAAGCTGCTTGCACTTCAGTCAGGTACACTGTTACTTGAAAGGAAGAATGTTCATTTATCCAAGAGCTCTGGCTGCCATTGGAGGCTATATCTGTGAAGAATTTATTTTAAATTAAGGAGCAACATCAGGTGAATGATGTTCCTGCTTTTGCTTTTTCCACTTGTATATGCACTAATTTTAATTTTTTAAAGACATTTTTCTGATCTTTGAACTTTTGCCACATTGTATACTTATTAAGGGAAGCTATTTGCAAGGACATTTTTGGGAAACAACGCTGGGCAGCATTTTTGCCATTGAGGGTTGCAGAATTTGCTCTTTTGGGGATAGGTTGCCCTAAATAACATAATGGACCAGGTAAATAATTGCGTAGAAATGCAAGATAGTGCATAATTCTTGTAAGAGTATTGTATGCAAGCTCTATATGCCACCCACTGTTAGTTCAAATTGAGATTTTTTTTCCAAGAATACTCAAAGAGAAATATCAGTGAATTGTTAGATATGAATTCCCCTCAGTTGATTTTAATTTTTTTCTGAATAAGGATTAGGTAAACAGTTCCTGAAGGGGTGTGTATAGTTCTCTGCTGCAGATGCAACCAGAGCCTTTTTTTTAAAAAGGTGTTTGCCTGCTTACACTTATGCAATTTTTTAAATAGAAAAATATTAAGAAATTGTGTTTAAATACCTAAAGGTCAGGAGCGTAATACTTTAGGTTATTTCCAGTATGCTTTTTTTTTCTTTTTCTTTTTCTTTTCTTTCTTTCTTTTTTTTTTTTTTTTTATAAAGTTCTATTCTTTGAACCACAGCTTTATTATGGTACTTTACACTGGATACAGACGCAGAGACACTGTTGAGAAGATGAGCTAACACAGCAGTGGTCTGGCATCAAGAGCTTTCTGATGTGTTACAGCCTGACTCTGGCGGGACAACAATCTGCTGTGCCTTTGCAGTCACTGCTTAGCCCAAAGTCATAGGACTTTTGATAATAACTCACTCAGTGGGGTATTCCTGAATAAGTCCATCTCAAAAGTTTGGAATTTTCCTCCTCTTAACTTTCTTAATATTTGGACACGCAACTGTCGCCAAACTTGGGTATTCATGGAATTTTTGGTTAATGAGATACCTATACTTTGATACTGAAGACTGCCAAATACATAGGAATTTTCTTTCTTTAAAAAAACAAAAAAAAACAAATAAAAAAAAAACAGAAACAAAATACAGTAATGAAGACTATATCTCCTTTCCCAGCACTGAATGTTTTACTAGCACTGGGTGCTCACCATGCAACTAGGAAGAACATGTGGAGACTCACAATATTAGGACAGACTTCTAAGCACTTGCAACTGATGTTACTGTCTTCAATTTTAATAAATATACGTATTTGTATGTTTCAGAGAAGTTTTTAATATTTCTCTGTTCACTTTTTATAAGCTTTAACATGATTTTTCTCTGCCTTGAGATTTGCATCAAGAAAAAGCACCTCTCTTCACTTGAAAGCTTTGAGGACCAGAGACACACTTCACACATTGTAACAAGTGTGTTGGCATCCACATTGGGTAGCATCAGTTGTTGAGTTAAACAGAAAATCGATTACTGCATTTGATTTGGATGGATTTTAAAGACCATAATGTTCAACATTGAAAGGATAATTAACATTTGCCACCATAATGTTCTTTTTTATGTAAAAGGAGTAAGAAACTTGGAGACATTAACATGCAAAAGTCTTTTATCATTAGCTCATGTATTTGAGAAGAGCAGCTGTCTTTTTATATGTTTTTTGACAAATCATATTGTAATTCTTTTGTACAAAAAAGAACTACTTGTATTCTAGAAGAAATATGAAATGCTTAATTTATAAGCGGGCTGGAGATTTTTTCCAATATTGTTTTCTTTGAAAATGAAAGGGGATCATCTATTTTAGTTTTGGGGTCTAGAAACTTTTTTGAAATTTAATTTGTGGACCAATGTTTTGTGAAAGCTAAAGAAGGGCAGGGGTAAAATAGGGCTTGAACTTTTCATTCCGTATAGACCAGCAAACTTCCCTCTGCAAGGCAAGTTCACATCAGAAACCTGAAAGATTGCTGCGTTGCACGTGCTAGTTTGCTTCAGCCCCTAGTAACCTCAGGACTTGGTTTGAATATTAAAAATAGACAGCTGATATGTTTTCGTGAGTAAATATTGTCAGCCAGGAAACTGTCAGGTAATTTTTTTTTTTTCTTTTTTGCTTTCTTTTATATTTATTTTTCAGTTTTTATTGGGAATGATTTTCAAAAGAGATGTCAGTTCTGCTTAGGTGTTTTTTGGGGAGTCTTCTTTTCCATAGTGTAAATCCAATTGATAGGTTGTCCAAAAGTTGGTCTTTCTAATTCACTGGGAGATTTTAATACCTGAGAATAGTCAAATTACGAATATAAACTTCCCACACTTTCCTGTTGCAACAGGTAAAAAGCACAGAAGGGACAACCTTGAAATCATGTAACGTTGGTCATTTCCATTTTTTTTGTACCAATTTTAAATTCTGTTTGTGTATTTACTTCATTGTAAATATTTTTGAGGGTACCTTTGTACTTTACATTTGACCTTGGTTCTGTGATTTGGATGTTGGCAACTTCCCTGAAAAGCACCAGTACGTTAAGTTCTTATGTCATGATCCCAGTATGTGTTATTCATCTTTAATTCTGTTTTCAGTCTCTATGTGTACAGCAGTATTTTTAATAAAGAATTACAGAGATAAATTTGTCTTTGTTTTACTCAAAGTTCATATAACAAGATTATTATAATTTGCTTTGAAAAGATTGTTTCGTTTGTTTTTTGGAGGGATTTTCATCTTTGGATGAAATGGTAGCAGACTGCTTTATTAACTTGGCAAACATTTGTAAAATGCATACCTGCCATATCTTTGAATCTGTCCAGCTATATGAATTGGTATGTATGAAATACAGTTACACCCACACATTTTGATACCACTGGCTTAGTAGTTGAGAGAACACTACGAAGAAAGCCCAAATGCTGTCACTAGTCATCTGTTCAGCATGTAGTTTTTCGTTGTGGTGAGGGATGTCCTACCTCACCTGCAGTTCCCCAGAAGGTCTGGATAGATGGGTAAAGGACGTATGGCCAAATAGAAATATCTCTATTTGAACCTGAATAGTGAATGCATATTTTTTTCCTTCTGTATGTTTGAAATAGAGAAAAAGAAAATAATGGGCTGAAGGCAACTAAATGGAGAGTGTTTCAGCAAAAAGACTGGCGAGTTGCTCATAGAAATTGTAGAGGAGACAAGTATATAGGGTGTTTTCTCTTTTTTTTTTTGAGGAGCACTATTTTCACAGCAGCTCTGCTAACATACATGCCCACCGACCATGTGTAAATACTCCCCATTTGACATCCTCATCAGCATTTATTAGTCTAGTTTTCGTCTTAGTTATTCCAATAGCATTGAGGTGATACCTCATTATGATTTTGATTTGCATTTCCCTGATGACCGGCAAGGGTGAGCATTTTTTCTCCCAGATGTGTGTTACCCATTTATATTCTGTGAATGATCTGTTGAAGACCTTTGTCCATTTCTCAGCTGGAGTGGTTGGTTTTTGTTGCTGAGTTTTTTTGGGGGGTTGCTGGTATACATGAGATATTAATCTTTAGTCAGGTGGTTTGCAAAATTTTTTCCCCATTGTGTTGGATGTTTTTTTCACTCTGTTGACCATTTCCTTTCTTGGGCAAAGCTTCTGAGTTTGATGCAATCCCATTTGTTTAGTTTTTTTTTTTTTGCTGACTGTGCTTTGAAGATCTTATCCACAAAGTCATTCCCTGCACCTGTGTCTTAGAGTGTTTCCTCTCCGTTTTCTTCCTGCAGCTTCAGAGTCTTTAGTCTCTGCTCTATCCTGAGTTCTTTGAATACGGTGTGAGAGAGTGAATGTGTATGTCCAGTTTTGACAGCACCTCTTGTTGGACAGATTTTCCTTCAAAAATTTCAAAGACTGTATGGTCTGAGCACTTTTGTCAAAAATGAATTGACTGTTATGTATGTGGATTAATTTCTGTGCTCCCTAGTCTGTTCCATTTATCCGAATGTTAATTTTTATGCAGGTACCATGCTATTTTAAGTACTATTGTTTTAAAGTATGCTTTGACTCAAGTGTTTTAATGCCTCCCGCTTGACCTCCTTGTTTGGGATTGCTTTGGCCATTCTGATTCTTTTGTGATATCATACGAATTTTAGAATTTTTTTCTAATTCTGGAAAGAATGACATTGGTATTATGATAAGGATTGCATTGACTTTAGGTAGTTTAGACATTTTAATGATGTTAATTCATCTGTTGTGTGAGTTGGTTGATTCATCTATTCTGTAAGTAGTATTTTTCTGTTATTTTGTGTCCTTGACATTTTCTTAATTTTCCTATGCTTTTCATCATAGAGATCTTTGACGTCTATGGTTAAATTTATTTCTAAATATTTTATTTATTTATTTACTTACCTTTTTTTGAGGCTATTATGAATAAAATTTCTTTCTTGGTTTCTTTCTTTGAGCTCATCGTTAGCATCCTGAACTGCCGGTTTTTGTATATTTTGTAACCTATGACTCTTACCGATTTGGTGTATCAATTTAAAAGCTTTTTGGTGAGGTGTATAGGTTTTTCCGTATACACTGCATGTCGTCTGCAAACATGGATAATTTGACTTCTTTCTCAATTGTGATCCCTTTATTCCTTTCTCCTCCTTAATTTCTCTCACTAAAATTGAATGAGAGTGGTGAAAGTGGATATCCTTGTCTTGTTCCAGATCAAGAGGAAGTGCTTTCCCCTATTCAGTATGGTATTGGCTATTGGGTTGTGATAAATAGTATTTATAATTTTGAGGAAATCTTCTGTATTTAATTTGTAGAAGGTTTTTGTTATTAGGGATACTGAATCTTAATTGAATGCCTTTTCTGCATCTGTTGATGACTTTATGAGTTTTGGTCTTTATTCTGTTGGTGTGATTTACAGCATTTATTGATTGAATGTTGAACTACTCTGCATTTCTGGGATAAATCCCACTTGATCATGATGTTTGATTTTTTTTTTTTTAATGTGGTTTTGGATTCAGTTTACTATTATCTTGTTGAGAATGTTTGCATTTATGTTCACTAAGATATAAGTTTATACTTGGTTTTTGTGTTGTATCTTTGATTTTGGTATCAAAATGGTGCTGGACTCATAGAGTTTGGCAGAATTCTATCCTCAGTGTTTTGGACTAGTTCAAAGACATTGGAGTGACTTCCTGTTTGAATGTTTTGTAGAATTTGTAAAGCCATCGGGCCAGGACTTTCAGTTGGTACTTCACCCTCACTGCTTGTTACATCTCTTCTTCAGGTTGCCTGTGTCATGTTGATTTAATCTTGGTAGATTGAATGATCTTGGGATTTATTCGGTTCTTTAAGGTTTTCCGGTTCATTAGCATATAATTCCTAATAGTGGTTTCATAGTCATTTTCTTCTGACCCTTTGTATGTTAGTAGTGTCTATGGTAAGATCTCCCCTTTTATCTTTAGTTTTATTTGATGTTTCCTGTGTTTGTCTCAAAATAACTATTTTGTTTCGTTTTTTTTTTTTTTAAAGAATTACTTTTATTATTTTTTTATTGGAAAGGCGGATATACAGAGAGGAGAGACAGAGAGGAAGATCTTCCGTCCGATGATTCACTCCCCAAGTGAGCGCAACGGCCGATGCTATGCCGATCCGAAGCCAGGAGCCTCTTCTGGGTCTCCCACGTGGGTGCAGGGTCCCAAAGCCTTGGGCCGTCCTCGACTGCTTTCCCAGGCCACAGGCAGGGAGCTGGAAGGGAAGCGGGGCTGCCGGGATAGAACCGGCGCCCATATGGGATCCTGGGCATGCAAGGCGAGGACCTTAACCACTGCGCCACCGCGCCGGGCCCTCGTTGTTTTATTTTAAGTGTCAGGTTCATTTATTTCTGCTCTGTTATTTCTCACCACCTTCTGGTTTGTAGTTTGATTTTTTCTTATGTTTAGATCTTCATGATGCATTAATAAATCTTTAGTTTGAGACATTTCTCTCTTTTTAATGTAAACAGTGTTGTAAACTTTCCTCTTCCTGCTTTTGCTGTATCTCACATGTTTTGATATGTTATGGTTTCATTTTATCTTTAACTTTTTTATTTCCTTTATAAATTTCCTAAATGATCAATTGATTATCAGTAGCATGTTGTCTAATTTTGAAGTATTCTTATTGTTGATTTCTTTTTTCTGAGAAGATACATGGCATGATTTCAGCTCTTTTAAATTTTCTGAGACTTGTAGTCTGTTCTTGAAAGTGTTCCACATGCTGATGAGCAGTGTGTGTAGACAGCTGGGTGAAATAATTCAATTTCAGTGTATCTTGATTTCCCTATATGTTTGATCTGACCTTTGATGAGAGTGGAAAACTGAATTCACGTGCTATTATTGTATTGGAAACTATAATAAGTATCACTTATTATACATATATGTATGTATCACATGCCTATATATACATATATGTATATAAGGTTTAATACTAATATATATGTTAAATGCATATATGTAAAATATCTTTCTTTACCTTCTTTACCTTGTTCTCCATTTTCTGGGCTGGATCTTTTTCCAAACCTTCCCTTTCGGCCTGTGAAATAACTTTCCTGTAGGCAGCACATCGTTTTATAAACACCCAGTAAATAGTACTACTTGAGATCGACATGCTAAAAGATGTCCCATTGTCTGTCTACTGTTCACATGTTACCAGATCTAGTGGGGATTGGGAGTGGCATGATTCCAAATGAGGTAGTCTAAATAGGAGGCCTCAGTGGAAGGTGATGTGTGAGGAGGCCAGTGCAGCTAAAGCAGAGTTAAGCAGGAAGAGAAACCAAAGAAGTCATGGGAAGGCAGTGGTGTCTTGTGAACCACTGAAGTTGCTGACTTCCACCCTCGGCTGTGATGCTGCAGGAGAATTTGAGCAAAGTGCTAACGTATCACATGAGAAGGATCACTTTGGCTACAGTGATGTACTTGGGCTGGGGAGGGGGGCGCTAAGCCTCTTTGCTGGTGGTTAGGCGTCTTGTATGGGCACTGGTTTGTGTCCTGGGTGCTCTGCTTCTTGGTCCAGCTCCCTGCATACACCCTGTAAAAGCACAGAGGATGGCCCAGGTCCTTGGCCCCTGCACTTATGTGGGAGACCTGAGAGAAGCTCGTGGCTTTGGATTGGCTTGGCTTTTGTGGTTGCAACCATTTGGGGTGAATTAGTGGATGGATGGTCTCTCTCCTTCCCTAACTCTGTCTTTCAAGCAGAAGTAAATCTTACAGTAAAAACACACAGTAAGTGAGCAGCAGTAATGGGAGAAAGCATGCCGAGTACAAGATGTGGGGATTTGGAGCCCATGTGCTGGCTCATGGGTAATCCTCTGCCTACAAGTGCCAGCATCCTACTTGGGGTGCCAGTCCGTGCCCTGGCTGCTGTTCTTCCAACCAGCTGCCTACTGGGAAAGCACTAGGTAATGACCGAAGCCTCGGCACTCTGCATTTAACATGGGAGACAAAGGAGGCTCCTGACTCCTGCTTTAGGTAAGCTTACCTCTGGCCATTGTGACCATTTAGGGTGTGAACCAGTGAATGAAGACTCTTTCTTTCTGTAAAATCTTCCTTTCCAATAAAAATAAATTTTAAAAAAAGTAATATGATAGTAGAGGTTGTGTAAAATGATTCAGTTCTGAATCTTTTTTTTTT